GGAGAAAAGTGAGTTTTGTGTGAATGTTTGAACAAATACATAGGTATTTATAGAGTTTTTGGGTGAATTTGACTTAAATATTTTTTTTAAATTATTTTAGCCGTTAGATTTAAATTTGGACCGTTAGATTTTTTTTTTACTATTAGATTTGATTATATTTGATCTCAGCAGCTAAATTCAATAATATATAAATATAATAAAAAAAATTAAATCTATGTCGTTGGATCAACCAGCAGCCTCACGACCGTCGGATCAAACTAGCTGTTGAGGCGCCTGGAAAACAGGGCCTACAAGCCCACTTTTGTTTGAGGGTGCATCAGGCATGCAGATGCAGCAGCAACAAAACGACACAAGGTTTGTGGGCTGCATGACTCTCCTCTCCGATCTCCAGTCTCCACCGTCATGCAAAAGCCACGTGGCTGACGTCACCATTCATCTTTCTCATGCATCCACATCTATCACAGATTTTTCAATGTGCCTGGAACACGGATGATACATTATGTATCTTTATACAATGATGAGATTCTAGTGTTAAAAAATTAACAACATAAATAAAAAATTCTACCATATAATAACACGTGGTACGTGATATATCATTTGTATTTACGGGCACAAAAAAAAACATTTTAAGTACTATATCACTCTGGTAAGGATTCGATTCCCATCAAACCCTTTCTTTAATATTTAATAATTTAACCTACATGAACTATCGTCAAAACAAACGAAAAAAACACATTTCCAATTAGGGTTTCTATTGCGTGGGCTCCTTCCTTATAATTCTCTCCCGACGCAGAACAAGTGCTGCCAAGTGGCAAGTGGGCTAATATACAAGCTTATCTCTCTTCAAGTTTGGTTAGGGTTTCCATTCCTCACTCGACCTGAACACATTACTTTAAGCTAAGACCACCCTTGTACCCTCCAGTCTCCAGCCCCAGCTGAAATTGAAAAGTGAAATTAAGTTGGACAAACGATACAAGAAGTTAGTATGTAAAATGTAAAGTAGTATCAATCAGTTTTTAGTAGTGTGCATTTGAAAGGAAGCCATCCTATTACCTATTATATAGCGGGTAATTGTGCATTTGCAGTACCATTCTTTGCATTGTAGCACCATTATATTGATCAGAAAGACATGGTTCTTCAAAGATTAAGGAGGAACTCCTTTTTAAAATACTTCGTGGTATATTTATAGAATTTCTTAGTTATGATCGGAAACATTCATATTGTAATAACTCACTCTGTACATATCATTTTTACAAAAAATTAATTAAAATAAGATCAAAAAATTAATTAAAATAAGATCGTTTAGTGATCAAAATGTATAAAAACAGATGGACATATTTGGTGAAAACATTATGAACCATCTATTTATTTGCTAAAATTGATTTACTAAACGATCTTAATTTTAGTTATTTTTTTCAAAGATGATCTTGTTAAAGTTATTTATAATATAAATGGATCATAATCACGAAATTTTATGAATAAGGCGATAAATATTTTGAGAAGGAGCTCCTCCTTAACTTTGAGGAGCCAAACTCTTCTATATAATGACACTCTGTGAACGTGTTTGGTCCGACAACTTTAATGTCATTTCTATAGTCTCATTTTATTTGTTACATAAATTGTAAAAATTGCACAATGTATATAAATTGATTAAATTGATTAATTTGATTTCACTTTTTGTTCTAATAAAGTTGGATTTTTTTTTTCTATCATAAATGAGGTGAAAAAAAATCTAACTTGAGAACTATTTATATTTTTAAGAGAAATCAAAATGACTAAAAAACCTATAAAAAAAAAACAAACACACACACAAGGTCAACTTGCCCAATCTAATACCCATTATATTGGCAGATGTGTGGCCGTGACAAGCACAAGAAGCAACAAAGGAATGCAACCAGCAACCCAAACCCTAAAAAACATCTTGACAAACTAGAAATTTAATCACTTCATAACCCGCCACATGGGAGAGTTTTCGCACAAACCGCCAATATAACTAGGAACTCTTTGAACACAAGCAGTGCCAACTCTGAAGAGGAAATTTGTGCACAAATCACCCATGAAGCTACTAGTTGTATCATAATAGACAATGCCAACTTTACCATAAGACGTAAACAAAAGACACAAGTCCAAAAGGGCAAATCTAATACGGATAAGAGGCACACAAACATCTAAAAAACCAGCATCTCAACAGTCCAATCTCTTGCCAAGCCCATACTATCCTAATTCTAAACAACCTAATTAAACCCTCAACGAACACCATAAATCATGAGTATCACCTCCACCATTTAAATGAATGTCATCATCAAACCACACACATCTAGTTAAGAATCAATTGTAGAACAAGGGGTGGATCTTGAGAAGGCTCGACCTCTAGTGATCCAACTTTATAAGTGGGGAGACGTTCAATTGAGAGGAAAGGATAAAATTTAGAGGAAATTTTTGGGAGAATTATTGGATAGAAAAGGAACACAAAAGAAGTGATGGAAACTTAGATCTAAGCATGGTTAATTTAGACAAGGACTAAATCACCATATAAATGACTATTATTCACACCAAATAGATTAGAAAATGAAAAAAAGGAAGTGGACGGGAGGAGAGGAGGAAGAGCAAAGGTGCATGCTTCTCCCTCCTCCTGCCGCTATGATGACCTTTGCTCTTGGTTCTCTCTGTAGGCTAGGGTTTTCAAATAATAGACATCATATTTTAGTTTTAATTCAATAAAGGTTAATTACCTTAAAAAACACAAATACGACTAATAAAGTAGTATTAAGCTAGGTTTATAATAAGTATATAAGTAACAAAAAATAAAACAATCCAAATCCAGAAGTAGTCTTTCATATAAATTTTCGAAATTATTGGGGTGATAATTAAGTGGCAACATCATATGCCTCAGAGACATGCCAAACCCTATATAATTGGGTGTCTAATAATTTAGCAGCAGCAGATTGTTTTGTCAAGACAGCACGAGGCGTTTGCCATGTTGTGTTGTTGACAATATCCTGATTTCCTAAAAATATACAGTTTGTAAACACGCCCATCGACATTTAATTATCAACGGCCATCTAGATTCTACGTAGAAAATGCAACCGATTTTCATGGAACGATGCCATATACTGGTGTGATCGAGTCAACATTCAGAAAATTTCAAGATTTTATGAGTTAATGCAGGATGAGCAGGATAACATAGATGCCTACAGCTCCTTGCTGAATTCTTAAACCTGAATTATTAGGTGATATCAAAGCATGACCATCTACAGCGCGGTGGAGTCGCAGTTTCATATTTGGAGGGTTCTTTAGGAAAGGCAAAAAAAACCTTACAAACTCAAGTCCCGGCCAATTTGTAAAGAGATAAGAAAGAGAAATTAGAAATTAAGGGCCCGATTTCGTTTTTAAATCTTTAGTTTTTATATTTTGTGGTTGAGATAAGACTTTATTGGGTGAAATGAAATGAGGGATGATAAGATAAGTGCGAAAGAGGAGGGGAATAAACAAAGAATGAGTGAGAACAGAATCTTGAAAGTGAAAATCACTCAAAATAGATTTTTTTTTTTTTAATTTTATTTGTGCACTATTCTTTATTCATTTCTTCTATATCTATATTCTATTCGACCATCATTCCTCATACTCTTTTATATTCCTTATTTCTAATTTTCCCTCCCTTACATCTACTCCTTCCAAACAGAAAAATGAGAACTAAAATCTGAAAATGAATTGGTCATTGAACAAGCCCTAATAAATATAGTAAGGACCTGTATTTAGGAGTACCAAGGACCAATTTTAGAGCAGTTATGTAGGAAGGACTCATAATACGATTTTCTGAGTGTTTAGAAGCATGTCGAAATCTTTATTAAAAGATCATCAAATGCTTAAAAAACACTTAGAAGTGCGTTAGGTACATGTTCATAGATAAAAGTGGAGTTTAGTGATCCTGTGATAGGGTTGGGTTGATTGGTGGAGGTCATGGATGCCAACCCGCCCTGCAGGCTGCTGATCGGGTGTCACTATACTTAAAACCGGTCACGTAAATGCGGACTCTCATAAGCTGCAGAATGCAAACTCTCACCCACAATTTAGCTATTACTTTTATTGTCCAAAATTTTTGCCAAATCAGAGATTCTTTTGGTGATCTAAAAAGAGGTTTGTAGCTCTGAAAGTACTTCCAAAACAATACCTTGAACAGTAGCTATGATTATTTAATTACAAGGTGAATTTTCTTAACATACTTATGAGATAAATTAACTTTCTCTTGGAAGTATATTTTCTCTAATATCTTGGTGGGTAAGGTCTTGGCTTTCTTTTCGTGCATTATGAGTTCAAAGCTCCTCCATCCCTAGAGTATTGTAATGCATTCGAACTCTTTCATTTCCCCATAATACTAGTAAACATTAAAAATAAATAAATCATGGGATGGATGGCAATCTATACTAGTGCTAGCTAGCTAACTACAATGTTGGCAGTCGTTGTTGATCATTCATTGCTGAAGGAGTAGCATAGCAAATAATACATTATACATGGTTGATTATGGAGGGTGAGCCTTAGCTCAACAGAAAGTTACTCTTTTGTGATCAAAAGGTCACAATATCAAATTGTGGAAACAATTTTTTTACAAAACAAGAATAAAGCTGTGTACAATAGACGTTCTTTCAACCGTCGCAAAGCGGAGCCTTGTTGGCTTGGGTCACCCTTTCTTATGGTTGATTATGGATACAATATTCATACAAACCTAAAACTCCATGAGAAAGCGCGCAGCACATTAATCCTGGAGATGTGGACGATTAATGAGACAACTCTAAGATCGGTCTAAACATATTCTAACTTCTTAACATATTCTTTGTATTTTGTAATATTTAAGTTAATTTTGAAGCTAAAAATCTTTTATACAGATAAAAATACTGAAAGAAAAGAGATCAGATTGGTAATATTTTCATCTGTTTTCTTTTGTTTCTTTCTAATTATAAAAGGAGAACTGGATGGAGAAGGTGAGTAGCAGGCGAGGGAGAGGAAGAAGGAAAATATTAAAATAATAGTTGTTAAAATACAAACTAAAACTTAACAACCAGTTCATAGTAATTGGAGTTAATTATAATTAATTATCCACTTCTTTTCAATACTTTCTCAACAGAGTAAAATTTATAAACTTAGAGTAAAATCCTCGTCTCCATATTCCACTCCATGACTAACCAACAGAAAGCCGCCTATAGTTACAGTTCCATACACCTTTACTCATCACACCAAAATATTCTGCAAAATTTAAATACAAAAAAACAGTCGAAAGCTCAAACTAATCCAGAAAGGCCAGAAAAACAAAGATAATAAAGAAGCAAGAACCAACCTGTGGAGCTAACTATATACACACACATATATCTGCAGAAATTTTATCTATAATATTTGAGAATGGCTCCACAAAAAGTACACATGATTGCTTTCCAAGATTTCCAGTAAACTGGAATATAGCAAAACCTAGTCGAAGTCTTTATATCAGCGACGCTTGCTCCACACCCACATCTTGAACATGTCCCAGCCACCGGCTTGCTCCGCCACACCTTCCTCCTCTGGTCTACCAGGAAACAAAAGCAAACCATTTTAGGAACTTGAGACTTTGCTTTCAATGTATTTAATCCTAGGTTGTATATATATATATATATATATATATATATATATATATATATATATATATATATTGTATCAATAAATAAGAGAGCATGTCAGATTATTTATAGAAGTTTGATGAGCTGTGTACACGAACATTAGCATTAGTTTGATAAGTTTTTAGTACGACAGTCGCACGATCAAATGACGATATTAATTTATTTATTATAATATGCATTAATAAATACTAATTTAATATATTATATTTAGAATATAGTATGAATAAATAGAATGAGGATCCTCTCTAGATTCTGTTTTTGATAATTCTAGAGAATCTCAAATACTATCCATTTATCGTAAATCCCACTGTCAGCTTTCATGCACACGATGTACGATAAATGAACGTAATTGGAGGATCCTCGGAATCCTTACAAAAAGAATTCGAAGAGGATTCTTTTCGAATAAATATATGTAAACAAAGTAATAACACGACTACCATACCAAAAACCTCTTACATGCAATAGCTGGAGATTTTTGGTCATGTAATTGGGAATAGGATTCTATTCAAAATCTCTTTGTGAGGATCCTAATGATTAGTTCATTTTATCCGTTCATCAGTTATTTTACGATCATAAATCATTTAAATTTTTTATTTAAAATGAAACACAAACAATACCTATAAAAAATTAATTATATAATATATGATGAAGGACTAAAATGTAATGATCCCTAAACTCCTCACAAAAATGATATGGAGAGGATTCTCGTCGTCCATGTAATTGGAATTGAAAACCAGCTTAGTAGCTAAGGAATCACGTATAATCGTGTGGATGACCAACGACTGCCACGTGAGGAAGGGCAGTTGGGGTGTTTAATTGTGATAGTTATGGTTCCTTAATTGTGGAGTAAAACTTTTCAACTGTCAAATTGTACTTTTGCGTTTGTCCATTCAGTTGCATAATTAATGGTCATATTGATGTTTCATGTTTTTTTTTTTTTTTTGGAACTTAAACAAAAGCTTTAGGTATTGATTATTTTAATAAAAAATTATATTTGTACATTAAAATATCAATCACGATAATATTCATTTTATCTTTTATTTTTATTTTTATCGTTAAAATTTAAAATTTTCAAATTATTTTCATTATTATTATTATTATTATTTCAAGTACTCCTTTAAATCATAAGGTGAAAAATATCATTGAACTCTGCAACTTCATTTCAATTTTCAACTCTATGATATATATGGTCATCCATCATCCCATAAATATGGTTGTCCAAATTAGGGCTAGGCATTGAACCGGTCAAACAAGGGCTGCCACTTTCTTTCTTAAAATCCGAACTAATAATTGTGAATTTTATAGGTTTGGTAACCGACTTTTACAATCCGAAAAAAAATGTTAAAGATATCACATCCAAATTATATCTTTAATAAAGATGAAAACTATTTGTATAGATCTTATTTCTATTAAAAAGACGGTTTCAATATAATTTACAAAATGTATTTTCTCTAACAACACTCATCTAAAAATCGAAAGATTCCGAAAAATCATCACAACAAAATGGTTCAGTCTTGGTATACACCGAGAGTTTTGATATTCTTCGACTACCAACCAATTATTACCAAATCGATTATTATAACTAACCAGATCAAAATATTTAACGAATTACATTCTTACATAAAATGTTGGTTCTTAGCTAAGACAGAAATTATCGGGAAATAAGCGAAATTTAAAAGAATTAAAGGTCCTAAACAAATTTAAATAACCAAATCTTTTGAAATAGTAGACGTTTCATGGAGAGCTTAGTTGCCAATGTGTTTGACGTTGACGTTGCAGTAATATTAGGGTTATTCCCACAACGGCATTGCAGCACCAGCATGTCTTCATTCAAGCGTTTCGTCGAACTTGCCGTGCAGGTTCAGAGGGTCAGATTCCTCACTCTTCATGACCTACGTGCGCTGTTCTGACTTTGCCACTGTTCACTATTATGTCCTCGTCTATATTATAAATGATTATAAAATATCACAAATAGACGTCATAGAGGACATGGAATGCCTAAGTTTTTTTCTCTAATCCTATTATTTATATTTTGGAGAAGATTGGAATGCATAAGTTTTATTCTTAATTATTCTAGCTATCTCTTACTTTCTAGTTGATCATAATTTCCTTATTTCTTCCTCCACATACCTCAAAAATAATGTCTTGTCTATTTAAATCCAATCTTTTATACCAAATAATTAAATACACTAAATTTGCAAAAAGAATCATTTTGTTATTGTAAATAAAAATTTTAAAACAAAATATTGTAAATGTAATCTCGATACACAAAATTAGGTATAAGCATAAGATCCGAAGTATGTTTCGTTGTGCCCCATATTTTGTTGAACTGATGGTATTCATACGTCGGCGAGTTAAAGACCCATACACATGCATGCCCGCCATCAGCAATTGACTTCACACCACTACTGTCGAAAATAGAAATGAACAAATCTTCAGCACTTATTAATAATTGGTACGTGTTAAGTTATGACAACAAAGTTAAGAAATGTTAAGTTTATTGACACGTGTCAATCAATGATAGTAGCCATAGACAGGCAACACCAAAATAGATGTAGAAGATTTGAACTCGACTTGTATGATAATCGTACGTCATTATGGTAGCTCATTATACAAAATCATATGCCAATTCCCTCTATATGTCCTTATATTATTAACATGAGACACCACTGTAGTTATGTATTCACGTCACTCATCTCTCAACAAGGGTGTAAACGTAGAGAGCTAGTGAGTACGCTTTTACTAATCGCACCTTCTTTGCCATTCAATGAGAGATTGAAATTGAATACGAGTTCTACTTGAACACTCTTCCCCGAATGGAAATTAAGTAGTCGGCAATTCCTGCTGTACATGTCTCTCATTTGTCTTCTTTTCTCTTTCTTTTGTTACCATACATGTTCAGTCTTTAATCAAAATGGACCTGTTGTTATCATACACTTCAAATTCTAATCTAAATACAATTGAACTTTAGAAAAATTATTAAATCAGATACAAGATTGATTATAAAAATAGTCAATATTAACGGATCCATCAATTGTCATACTTGCTTCTCGATCGATATAGCTACTAACAGTATTCGACCTTCGATCTTAAGTATGTTTCAACTACAACAAATCTGTATGAACTGTATAAGTTGATATATACTTTCAACTTGAACTACAAAGTGTCTGGATAGTACATCTGATGACTGCTAGTCTGCTTAGGTGGCAGCACAATGCATGCACATGACATGCAGAACGATTACATTTGTTTCCAGGTGAAATAATAAGGCAATGAGTATATATTGTCTTTTTGCCAATTGCCATAAAAGTTGGCGGTCCTAATTGTTTCATATTTATAAGTTGGAAGTTATTGTCTATCAATCTACCCTCTCCAAATGTTTTAACCCTATGTGATTTTGTTGCTGGGAGTATTCGTTATGCACATAAATATGGCCACTGTGTAGAGGGACAACTTGTATATGGGATAGATGTGAAACAAGAAAGCATGCCATTTTTTTTTTATGGTGTGTGCTGTTTCGAATAATTAACAGTTCGATATATATTGCATATAAAGAACCAGTAAATATTTACAACAATTAGATCTTGCTTAAAACACATATCACTGAGTGGTAATTAAGTATTATTCTAACCGGACCCGAAAGCATGACCTATAATTTATAAGTGAGAATATTGTAGCAATAACCCCTCAACTTTAATCCAATTTGAGCAATGGTCCCTCAACTAAAAATCCATGACTATTGGTCCCTAACTCATCAAAATGTGTAACTATGGTCCTTTTCGTTAACTCCGTTAAAACTTCTGTCAAAATGAATCATGTGTCATGCACGTGAGGTCATAATCAAAGGGAAAATATGGAAAACTAAATGAGAAAATTGTAGAAATGGTCTGTCAGCTTTAACCCAATTGGAGAAATGATTCCTCAACTTTCACCCAATTGAGTAATGGTCCCTCAATTTTAGCCCAATTGGAGCAACGATTCTTCCAACATGACTCATTCTGACGGAGTTGACGAAAAGAACCATAGTTACACATTTTGAAGAGTTAAGGGACTATTAGTCATAGAGTTTTAATTGAGGAACCATTGCTCCAATTATGTTAAATTTGAAGAACTATTGCTACAATTTCCTCTTTATAGGTTATAGGTGATACATATTTATAACATGGAAGCACCTATAAATGCAATTGGTTTTCAAGTGGCGTGGTTGTAAATGTTGATTGAGATAGATTTGATATATAGCGTGGAAAGGGTAGTATAGGGAGGGCAACCCAGATTTAGGGTAATAGTATTTCACTAGTAAATTGTTTTTTTTTTTTTGGTCAATATTTCACTGTAAATTAGTAAAGGTTATGCAAGAGGATGCAGTTATTGTTGGAGAATAGAGGAAAATGTAGTGAGAGAAAACATTGGTGACTTTTATCTATGTTGTAGTAAATAATATTTGAGAGAGGAGAGAGGGACGGCAGAGAGATGAGGGAATCGAAAATTATTCGATGTAAGACATTATTAGATAATCAGAGTGGCGAGTCTGTAACCTAATAATTGGTGTCAGAAGACTAGCAGTATTGGCATGTGGATGGACATGTGACCATTTGTGTTGATACATCAACCAAAACCAATAAACCTTTATATGATCCCCTGAATAAGTCCACACATATTCCCTTTGAGTCTACTATAGAGAAGAGGGTTTTTGATATCTTTATGGGGGATGATCTAAGAATCAACTTTCCCAAGGAGCAAGTTTGGCATGTACGTTTGAATGAACAATTTTCCTATGAGTAAGATGATGCCAGTAGAGCATCATATCTCGATAAGAGTGTTCCAAATGGTCGTGCCAAAACAAGGAAATGCTCAAATCATGCGGCCTTCGGCCGGCCACATAGTGCGCTCCATTCAGGCCAGCGAACTATGGTTTCAAAAATATGCTTCGTGCATATTCATTGGAGGTGATGCAAACATATTCCACTTGATTTTCTAAGTGGTTTCA